TTTTTAATATATTCTAATAAAATTCCACTTTTTTTTCATTTTTCTTCATTTTAATCACATATTTTGAATTTACGATCTTTCTGTATAATCTAACTCCTCGTTTTCAATCTCAAAAGTGGTTTGGAATTCAGGACAATAAGTCCCGTAAAGAATACTATGATCAACAATATGTTTTGTTATATGAACTCGTAATTTATTGTATTGAAAAAAATCACGTGCATGGAACTCACAAAAAGGTGCGCCATTTTTGAATCATAATAGCTAGGAGAGTTCGGCCTTACGTGATTTTGTAGAGGGGCCTTTCAGCTATCTTTTGCACACTTTAGATGTATTTGTTTCTATGGAACTTTAAAAAACGCAACGGACTATTTGAAAGATTCGTGATGGGCAAATACTAGAAATGCAAAGATTTCCAATATTTATCAATGGTTTTATAGAGTACTCATTTACCTACGTAGTAGTAAAAATCGCACTTCTCTAGCTCTTTCTTTTCTTGAGTTATTGCAAAAATACCCACGGCCACTATATTTTTGGACAAGCTTTAGTTTAACTTACAATTAGAATATTATTTTCTATTATACACATAGTAAAAATTTTCGATCATTCAAAAAAGAAATAAAAAATACATAAAAGTATGAAAATATTGTAAACTTACTTTTCATACTCTTTGTAGATTATCCGATCAATTTTTGAATAGAAATATTATATGCTTTGGTACATTAAATATATAAATGAAACTAGAGCAAGAATTTTTAGAATACATCATATTTATTGATTGAAAATCGAAACTCTCAACAAAATTTTATTTTCTTAAAAAAAATTAATCGTTGATTATGTTTCTAAATATGAATGATTTGTCACTGAATCAATGTTAGTGAGTGTCACATTCATATGAAACAAAATTAAATTATATTTAATTGATCATATAAAATGTCATACAATGTACATTTACAATGTGAATAGTCTAATAGTTATGTTACTTATATCTCAGATCATCATGAATATATGATTATTGATTGTTAAAAATGCTGATATCATTTCGAACCTATACTGAACGACGGAATGTTACTTACCTCAAAACTGGTACCAAACTGTCACAAATAATACATAAAATGTAGCCTTTCAGAAAAAGAAAATTTTATCATCAACGAGAAAATATTTTCAACTGCTCAATCACTTTCCTCTTGAAAGCTAGTAGATCATTGGTTATTGATCATGATAATTTCGAATATGTTCAAAAGAAATGTTCATGTGTTAATTTTCTATGAAACTGGTTTTTCAGATTAACAAACTTTTCACCAAAGCTTTTATTCAATCTCTCCAAATTATCAAACATGTTGAATTGCTCAGAAAACAGAAACTTTCTCTATTTCAAATTTTTTTTTTTTGTGCATAAAACAAAACGTTGTAATCTATATAATAGAGTCATGTCAACATGATAATGTAAAAATATTTAAAACTTATATTTGAAAATCAGAAGAGATGAATGAAATATAGACAAGTCGATATGCTCTATACTCTAAGTTGATCTAAAAGGATTTTGAAAAAATGTATGTTAGTGTAGAAAACCAACACATAAAGATCTAAGGAGATTTCTTATGATCATATTAAGAATCAGCACGTGTGATAACTCATAATCTAGTAGGTTTTGTTGAGAAGTCAATCGATCAGTTGAAAACGTCTTTTTTCGGGATTGTAATGCTCGAACTTTGCGATCTAACATCTACTGCTATATACACTCATATATCTTTTTAAGTTAGCATATTTTATAATATCTATGAATAGAGGATTATGTAAACCTTATGCATATTCAGGATGATTGTTTTTTTTCACATTGTTGAGTAAATGTTTTTGATCTCGTGCGAACTATTGTTTGATTATATCGAATGAAAATAACTCTTTCTTTGATAGCAATTTTTATTTTAAGATTGTATATATAAATTGTTGATTATCAGTGTGTATAGTGTGTTCGAACAAAAAAAAAGAGTTTTGGGAAATATTTCATAATGTTTCAAGTTGATTGCTACTTAGTTTCAAACTAATGTAATCGATAGGATTGTATCCGTAATTTGTAATAATTTGATCGTCATCAATAAAAGTAGCTCCACATTTTTCGTAAAATTTTAATGCTGGTTTATTTACTCGTCGACAAAGACATGTATAAGATGTTGCTGAAGGAAAAACTTTACCAAGATATTTTAAAAGATGTAATCCATAGCCTTGTCTCTTGAATGCTGGATCTACAGCATATTGAGAAATATATATGTCATTTGAATCATTTTTATTTTCTTTTATTGTCAAAAAACCAGCAACAACAGATAAAGATGATGACGTATATATCACAAAACAACGACATTGATGAGAAAGTAATTCATTCACTTCTTCATTAAATGCTTTTTCCAACCAAGTTAATAGTGTTTCATCTGTTGGTAGATTTAATTGTGGCTCTATGATTTTATAATATTCAGAGAATGATGAAACAAATAAACGTTGTAACTTAATCAATAATGGATCATTATTACTTGTTGGAACAAACTCTACTATATGATGTTTGTTAATTGTAGAATGGTATGTTTCTTCATGTTTCGATGATAAATCCGAATTATTATTTGAGTTCATTGATAAAAATATCTGGAAAAAAAATGCATATCTCACTGTTGTTTATGTTTAAATTATGTATCGATATATATCATTGACTATTCATATTATCTGATTCATTCGTTCTCATTGCAATATTGACGACAACAAATTAGCCATACGAATGATTAATAAAAGAAAACGATAGAAATAACAACATGCGTCATAATTGCACGTGTTCGAGCAGCATAGTATCTATGTTTGCAATATCAAAAGTGCATTTTGAATAAAGATGTAATTAAGAAAAAAACAAATGAAATTTGATGATTTATTTCAATACAAACATGATTTTTTTGCTTAAATTAACAACAGTATTATATTAGATTTATTACATTTCCTTTTTGCATTCAAATAAAAGTCAGTCAACATCATTGTTCAATTTTGGATCATGTTGTAACGAATATTCGCATCTAAATGACTTATTGAATTAAGTATTTCTACGTATACTATAATGATTGGACTGGTAGGATATCTATTTAAAAAGTATCACATTTATAAGAGTTAGTTTAAAAAACTACTGAGAAACTTTCGAAATTATCTGCACTTTTGAAATGTAGCATCTTCTTCTCAATAATAATGTTAATTGATATGTACATTAAAAAAAAATATTGCGTAATCCCTGTATTAGCTGATGTTTCTTAATAATTTCCAAAATTTTTCAGTAATTTGTAAAATTATTAGAATTATGGACGTTAGAGTCTTCTTTGTCATATGGATGTACAGTGATATCTATGTTAAATAATGATAGTAATTTCAATATTTACTGAAATTTCCAAGTAATTAATAAAAATACCTATATGTTGAAAGGTAGATTCCTATGCTTCATAAGAAAATATACCGTTCTTTATCGAGATTATATAGACGGTAATTTTTATATATACTGGATTTTGTTAGTAATTTCACAATTATTACTAAAATTCAGTCTATGGTTTGTAAAAATTTCTGAATATTACGCCTTCTTGAATGTTTAGATTTTGATGAATATAGCTGGAAAATTTCTTTTTTTTTCCAAATTGTTCATTAATGAAATCATCCAGCAGTTGTTCAGTGGTGTATTAGGAATTTCTGGATTTTCCTACAAATTGTTTATGGTAAGGAGGTAAACACTGAAGTTTTCTAGAAACTTTAGTATTGTCCAACAGATGATTTCGATGGATTTAACCGAAATTATACTAATTTTCGAACTGTCTTATGGGAATGGCTTTTCTATGGGAGTAATTTCTGAAATTTTGTTTTTCATGATAGAAATTTATTCTCAGTAGCTGAGTTTAATTTTCAGATTTTTATATATTTGACTCGAACAAAAACGTTTTCTAGTATATATATGAGTCAGCTTGAGTAAATCACGATCTACTTTCAGAGAAGCTTCTCAATCAAGTATTACCGATTCAGCTGGTTTTTATACGTGTTACAAAAGGAAAGTATTTGATAAATTTCTACTAAAGTCATTCAAAAAAAATATATATATTGCTTCATTTTCGAGATATATATATTTTTTTGAGAGCACTATCATCACGAAACAAATACAATTTCTATGTTTTTTTTTGCACTTTTTGGGGCAGTCACATCTCATGTTCAAATATTTCTTAGATAATCGCTATAACAAATCCACCAATCCTATAAGCCCTTCAAGAGTTTCATTTTCAAAAATCATTGAACGACTATAAAAATAATAAAAAGGTGAAAACTTTACTATTTATTTTCATCAACACTCGAAAGGTTAATTATTTTTATAGTCGTACAAGAATATTTTAAAACTGAAACGTACAATAGATCGTCGAAGACTTTACGAAGATTTGATGTAGGATTTATATGACTAATAAATACTTTTTTTAAAGTTTATTGCTCTGCATTGTGTTTTTTGCAGTGTACAGAGTAAAATATAATAACCACCTAGGTAAATATAATGTATGTGTTGTGATTTTTACACACATGGATGCGTTCGATCAACCGTGAAGTGACTTCCTTCACTATGATGCGATGGTTTTTTTCCATTCGCAAATGTGCTTGTCATTTTTTTTTATATATGGTATTTTTTTGCGCACTTATATATCGATTGACTGGTGAATGAAGTCAGTCTTCGGTTAAACAATATTGACTGATAATGGACTTAGACATGCGTTTATATCAAAATACCCTATGTTTGTATAGATCCAATATTGGTTTCGATAGTATTCGTTTTAATTCGCTTCAGTATTTTTGGTTAATATTAAGAGTATTGAGGTCTGGTATTAGTCAAGTATTAGTTTAGTCCTGGTTACTTTTCTACTTTACTTCTGTAATTCTTTCTTCTAAATTGATCTCTGATCATTGTCCAACTGTTCATAGGTAAGAAAATTGCACGTTAAAATTATTCAATGAAAGCAAATCTTATTGCTCTTTATAATAAAAAATAAATATAAATGAAATTTTTATGTTTACTTTATACAGATAAATAAAAAAATTATTTATCTTTATAAAATAATGATAAATAAATTCTTTATTTTCCAAAAATAATGATAAAACAAATAATAATGAAATAATCTTTTTTATGAGAACTTAATTATTAATTTTTTTACTAGGTAGCTCACAAAAAATTATGATATCATTAATACAAATGACAAACATGGAAGACTTTTTTTGCAAATGCTGCTGATGATGAGAAAGAATATTGATTAAGATATACTTTTGTTTCACTAAATATTTCTCTATTTCCCTATCACAAAAAGAATTTTGTTGTTATTCTTTATTTTTGGAAAATACAAAATTCATCTAGTTTTATTTTATAACTATAGAGATTTTATTTACCTTTATTTTTCGAAAATAAAGAATTTCTTCATGTTTGTGTTATAAATATTAAAATTATATTTATATCTATCTTATACATTAGAAATAAAATAATACCCCGAATTATCAATACTTTCTCATAAACATGTCGATTAATCAAAAGAAATGAATATTATCTCATCCTAAAGATTAACATCTCGTATAACTGGTGTGTATTATCTTATAATAAAAAAAGAGCCAAGAAAAAGATTGTCAGCACAGCACCTCATGCATCAAAAATATGGAACTTGTATTCAGTTACCCTAAGAAGCAACGAGAAGATTTTGATGGTGCAGAAGTCTCTCTCTAGAGCAAAAATACATAGAGTCAAATTCATTGCGGAATGGGTATGGGTATGATTCTAGATGACAGTGTTCTGTTCACTTACAGCTTTGACAGTCACATCCGAATTTATGCAGGAATCAACACACATTGCACCCATATCGACATACACAACACAACTCTCACCTAACTCTTGGAATGACTTTTTATATACAAGCTGAACTTTACCTCTATCGAGTCTCATTGAAAAGTGTTATTTCTTGTGTTTGCTTAAGAAAAAAGATTATTCTTGTACTAATCATGTTTCCATTTACAAGTAACAAAACCTAATAGTTTTATCTTTTTCATGAATAGAGTCAGAAATACATAACAAACTAATAATATACTTTTAGACAAAAATTCAACAACTGTTGCTTCTATTTCAAATAGAAAATGAGTGGAAAAAGACCTTATCCATCCTCAATAGCATCAACAGCATCGGATGGTTTAGATCAATTCTCGCGAGATGATCATGATGATATACAACATGACCTATCGACTGATGGTATGCTAACAACATTATATCATACGACTTTTTTTCATTATTTACCTGATTCATTTTTTAAAAACTGATGTTACAATTCGATGTTTTTTTTAAAGAGGCTTCGTTTCAATGGTCTGTACAAAATGATGTTCAATCGGATGTTACTAATCTGAGAGACATTTCTCAAAGTTCTAACGAGGGTCAGTATTTACATTTTGAAGCTAGAGAATAATGTAAAATTTTTAATACATAGTTCGAAAAAGACATTTATCCCGTTGGGACGAGTGTTTAGACAAAAAACTTCAATCTCAACCCCTAAGAAATCAATGTAAGTAAAAGTGAAATGATTGAATATAAAAATAAACCTATTTAAATAATATCTCAGTCAATCAAGAAACAATCGGTCAAACAACACTTGAAAAACTTACTGTACAAGAATTCTTACCAAGTTCGGCTCATGATCCAATCTTATCAATATTACGTGAACTTTTCGTGCATTCATTTGACCACTTTTATAAGGAGATTGAAGTTCAGCTTAAACTTAAATCGAACAAGACACTTATTGAATGGTTACAAGAAACTTTTGATGAAATGAAAGATGAAATGCTTACTAAAAAGTGTCGATGTTTTATGCTGTGTTCATCCGATACAGTCAAGAATTATAAGACACAAGGTATCGTTGGTTTTTTGACTTTAAAGGAAGAAGGAAAGGGGTCTGTGTATATTTCTCAATGCGCAATCGAAGCTGAAAATAAACGTCGTGGTTATGGAGCTCGTCTTCTGCTACATTTACGTACGATTTATCCACCAGGTACTTCTTACTGGGGCTTGTGTCGACGAGCCAATATACCAGCTGTTAAGTTCTACTTGAAACAAGGCGCAAAATTCATTGATAATGAAGAGATAGCTACTAAGTATGGCTATGATCCAGCATTATATACTGGTTTTCAATTTACTGATACTATAGGATACGTTCAGTCAAGGTAGCAATGATGAATATGACATTTCAATAAATGTTTTTTTTATAAAAACGTTCTTCTTTTCATAAATAGTGATTCTCATTCATCGACTTTACCATCTACGTCTCCAACAACAATGCCAACATTTGAACCATTAACAAAACGACGATCAAACGTCACGTATGTTTATTTAGAAACAGTTCTTTTTATTAACTTCGAAGATCATGTGTTTTATCGAATGTAGAATATTCTTACTACATATATCAATGCGATGCTTAATTAAAAATATGCTAGACACGATTGAAAAAGTCGTTTTTCCATCTCAAGAGACGTATTGTCATCTGAATCTGTGGAGCCTTAATCGAAAAATCAATATCAATTCTGATGAGCAGATATGAGAGAGGAAAGACTTTTCTTTTAGCTATTTGTATATCGAGAACATGCAAATCATCAAGTAATTGCGGCTCGTCTGCAGATAGGTGTAAGATTGATAAAATGTGTGTCTGAGAAGAATATTTACTCTATATATATTTTCTATAAAGTTCGAATTTGTAAACTATTCATATTTTAATCCTAGAAAGTCAATGTTTCACTTATGGAATTTTAAGAATGGGACTGTTTGACATCAATAATAAACAGAATGAGGACTATTATTAGATGATTTTTCTTATACAGTGGATGCTTCCTACTAAAATAAACCATATATTTTTCTTTTTTTTTTCATCTTTTTTCACGTTTCCTTTGTATGACTAAGACTCTATCTTCAAATTTTAGTCCGACTACAATGAATATATCGATTTTGAGAACTAGTATCGATGCTAGTCTGAGTACTTTACACTAAATATGACTGACTGATTTACTCTTAAGATGAGTATTGCAGCCTTTATAAAATGAAAATATGCGATCACCACGCAGAATTTTTACTCGTGTTTTAAAGAATTTCCCACCCTAAATAGGCGTAAATGGAAGTTTTGGGATGGACCATATCCCGAATATATATTACTTTATCATACGCAGTTAGTAATGATTGTGTAACAGCAACCTATTGAGCATTCGACTGTTTACGACAATCTACAATACCATAAGAATATAGCCATAATATGGTTGATATGAAATCATGAAAGTATGATGTAAAACGGTAGCAAACAATCACTGTTATTTAGTATTTTCCTTGTCTTCTTATCCACATCATGTCACCGTTCTATTTACTAAACTCTCCCACTAAACACAAATGAGGACATGAGTCGTTTCTTTTTTCGTCCTTAGATACTTATTTTCCGTTGTACTAATTATTTTCATCTAGTTTACAATTGTTCATTTTCTTTTATTCGCATTTGCACATCCTTCCATTATGAATATAGTTTTATAATCATTCATCTTTTTATAGTTATCCTATTTGTACATGATATTTTCTTCTCTGTTTATTCGCTTTGGTTGTAAAAGAACATAAACTACTATTTTGTGTGACATTCAGTTCTTACGCCGTAAATCTTCTTTCTTTCATCTTAACTTGAAAACAACGAAATCTATATTTCTATCAAATGCTATAGCTCCAACTGTGCTCTATGTTGTCCAAAATCTGGTGAGAATTATATACCATAGTCAAAGTTCTGACCGCGAAATTCCATTGCTCTGCTTTATGGTGTGAGATATCGATTAACTGACTGGACTAGAAGTTTTGACAGCGATTAATTGCTTTGTTCTTGGAGTTTTACAACCTTAAAATTGGCGATTTAGCGGATAAGTTGATAGTCTTTTGGCGGTTAGTCACTTAATTCTTCAATAAATCAGAACTTGAACCGCAGTTAAACGACAGTGTGCGATCGATTACTATAATATGAGGTTTGATGTTAGTTCCATCTTTAATAAGACAGCTACATCTATATCAAGATTCGATTTAAATCAGATATTAGTTTTTCTTATATATTTTTAGATCTCAAGACGATTCTACTATTACTCATCCTTTGCTCGCAATTCAAAAACCCAAAAAAAGCAAGAAAAACAAATGTTGCGTAATATCTTGAAATAAAACAATATTTTCCTAGACTTTTTACATAAAGTATTACTTATTGTATAAGATAACCAATAATTACTACTAAAGGTACGAAAATAATCGTTTTTCCAATATTTTGTCCGGAAATCTGAATTAATAAAATGATCATATTAGCTTCGATTTTACTGTGCATGCTCTACCATAATCATAAATTTTTACTAAATGAATCTAATTTGTTTTAGATTTTATTGCGACGTCTCCGAAAGAAAACAAATACATTTGACGACTATCATATCGACACATATTTTTTTCAGAAAAGATTCGATGAATATTTCTTCCCTGGAATTAACGAACTATAAATACAACTTTACACAATATGGGACAGAAACTCAGCAACACGCTTAGCAGAATGGGAACTTGTGCATTGTCGAATGATGAAGTAATATCCACGATTCCAGAATCTCCCATACTTCAACCAAGTGAAACCAAATGTGTGTCAACACTATCTAAAGAATTGGATCTACCTGATGGCGTGACTATCGTATGGCTGGATGCAAAAGCACATTCGAAATCGAACGATACAATGGAAACGAAGTTAATGCTAGAAAAAATTCATCCACCCATATTTACATTCTACGATGTAAAGAGCTGCGAGGATGCTTTGAGTACAATCAGCAACAAAAAATCACGTATTTTTCTTGTTGTCTCTGGCAAATTTAGTACTCAAATTTTATCTGACTTGAAAAATTTATCAGCGGTTGATTCTGTCTTCATTTATTGTGTTCGTCCAGAAAAATATGAACATCTCGTTGCCAAATACTCTCCTCATGTGATTGGTGTATTTACAGAGCAAGAATCATTGAAATTATCTCTTGAAACTGAACTCAATAGTTATCACATGCGAGCACCAATTTTAAATTTCTTTGCACAAAAACAAAATGCTACACGTGATCTTACATATGATGCAGCATCTTTTCTTTGGTTCCAATTACTTCAGAAAGTGCTTATGAAGACCAAATATGATGCGAGCGACATGAAACAGATGATTGACTATAGTCGAAAACATTATGAACGGAATGTTCAGCGTGAGAAGTTCTATTCGGATATTGACAAATTCGAGAAAACCTATAAATCGTCTAACGCGATCGAATGGTACACTCGTCAGTCATTTGTTTATAAACTGATCAATGCTGCATTACGAACAGAAGATATTGAAGCACTGTATATTTTTCGCTTTTATATATCGGATCTATGTCGACAATTGGCAAATGAACACAAAGTATTCCGTATTCGACATGAAAAATCGCCTGTGTTGAAACTCTATAGAGGTTGTCATATGACTTTACAAGAGCTAGATAAGCTACGGGAGACAACAGGTGGTATGACTAGTATAAATGGATTCGTTTCAACAAGTATGCAACAATGGGTCGCCGATGAATTTTTATCGCGTGATGCACGTCGTGGACCTAGCGTGCAACGTGTATTATGGATAATTGAAACAGACTGTCGCATTGATGACGTCATCTTTGCCTTTGTAGCGCCATATAGTGTACATCCCGAGGAAAAAGAGGTGATCTTCAATATAGGAAGTGCTTTTCGTATTGATAGTGTAACACTCAATGAAACAAGCAATATCTGGCATGTAAAAGCGGCAGCTACAAATGCTGGATCGTATGCTTTCTCAGAATACACTGAGCTGCTTCGACGTGAACTAAACGAAACTAGTGAAAAGGTCATATTTGGAACGTTACTTATCGACATGGGTAAATATGTTACAGCCCAACATTATTTCGAAGATTTAATTGAACGTTATAGCGGTAGTAATCATCCTGATTTACCAGCTTTTCATTACAATCTAGGATTAACCCATACCTTTCAAAGAGATCTTGATTTAGCTGAACAGCAATTTCTTCGAGCTCTTGAGTATCAAAAATTGGTTCCGTTGAAACAGCGTGATATGGTGCGTACATTAAATGCACTTGGCTGGATTCATCAAGATAATGGAGAGTTGGATGAAGCCATCCAGTTTTATAAAAACGCCGAGTCCATCTGCGAAGAAAAGCTTGGATCTAACGATCTCGCAAATGCACAAACATACACATATATAGGCAGATATCATTTAGAACGACAACAATATAATGAGTCGAATATATTTTATGAACGTGCATTAGAAATTCTTCGTCTTCACCTACCCAAGCAACATCAACGTTTAGGCATTATACTTTGTGAAATGGGTGATGCAAGACGCAAACAAGGTAAACCTGAACAAGCTCTCGATTTATATAAACAAGCTGAGACTATTTTCCATGATATTTTGCCTCAACATCATCCATGTATGGCCTATTGTTGGAGTGGTATGGGATTAGTTTTTCTACAGCTCAATAATATCAAAGAGGCTCAACATTATCACGAAGAAGCATTAAAGTCGTATCGACATGTCCTTCCACCGGATCATATAAATATTAGCATCAGTGAAAAAAATCTTAAGTGTACCAGATATGATCTCATAATAGATAGCTACTTACAAGTTTGTTCACAAGTTTGAAGATAAAGCATTTGTTTTCAAGATTTTGTATAAATGACAAGCAAAAGAACTTTTATAAGAATATATTCAAGTCTTTGTTTTCATATTTATATTGCAGGACTTGTTTACATTTCTTTGATTATTTTGATTAACCTAGATTAGATAATGTGCAATCTATTTTATGTTATTGTAGATAAAATACACAAAACAAGAAAACTATTTGTATTAACAATTAGTGAATTAATATTACGTTGATCAGCTGGACAAACTTTCAAGTTCGTATATATTACACTACATTGTACACATTGTTTTTGCATGTGACTAAACAAGATAATAATTATGACAGGAGACTCAGTGAATGTAACTCGTAGGCTAGCAAAATACTTACATTATGCGTACGATGACAAGATCGAATTGTGACATGAAAAACACATATTCTATCTACGGTCATAGACTATTGTATTCAGTTGATTCGATTTGTTCTTTGTGAAAAACAGATGATTTTGACGAAAAAAAAAGAAGTTTCTACTTTTATTTACAAAATTTTATATGAACGTATAAAAAAACATGATGTATTCATGTTTTAGTCGACTGATCAAAGTTCATAGAGATCGATAGTTCTTACTGTACTCTATGCCATTCCAGCAATCGTAGATTTCTACTTTGTTCCAATCAAAATATGCTCATAGAATACTTAGAACTCTTGTAATATGAAATATATTGTATTGTCTTGCTGACATTCAGTCAACTTTGAGAAACAAAATACACTAGTAAGACATTCATAATGATTGTAAAGAAACTGTTAGTGTTTATTTCTCGTGAACTAGAAACCAATAGAATAACATCTGTTAGAATTTTGTCTGTATTGTAAATTGTATCAATCAGCTAAGTATAAGTATAACGATAGGGATCAGTTGACAAAGTTTCTTTGTGAATGAATTTTATCAGAAGTATCAATGCCATAGATCTTTTCTTTTCTTGACACCAGTTGTTTGAACCATCATTGAAAAATTTATAATGGCTAGAGAATCTGCATTTGGTCTCATTCGACTACGAAACACAACACATATACCTTCAAATATGTTTTTTCTCTGGTTGGATACATGCTCAACGGATTTTGAAAAATTCAGAGAACAATTTTGCACTGAAACTTCAGTTACTCCATGCGACTGGAAATTTTTTGACAGAACAGACGAATGTTATCAGTTCATAAAACAAGCAGATTCCAAAAAAAATATTGTACTTATCTCGTCGGGTCGCCTCGGTGTAAAGATTGTAAATGACTTGCACGATCATTTGCCACTTCACTCAATTTATATATATTGTAACAAAAAAGACAAGTACGAAATGTGGAAGATCAATTATGCAAAGGTTCGTGGTGTATTCGACGATCCTGTACAATTATTTGATCAAATGTGTCAGAATCTTGATGAAGAAGCTCATCGATCTCGGCTCAGCAGTGCTAGTATCAATGATACAGTATCGACACCAAAATGTATCGCCATTAAAATTCATTGTCTTTTTAGGAATGAGATAAAATCTTACTGTCAACCAAATATTTCTTGGTGTCCATGGCAAACGAGTGGTTGTACTCCATCATTACCAATAAAAGGACAAGGAACAATTGAAATCTGGCAACATGAATCAATTCCATTTGAGTTACGCATATCAAATAAACAGGATCCGAATGATAATACCACAGATAGTTATGCAATTATTTTAAAGGTCGATACTCGTGAAGCACAACTTGGCACAGTCACTGTTCAGGGTGGACATGTATTACGTGTACGAGATAATACAACAGAACCACATCAAGTACTACAGATGGATGATGGTCATTGGCATTGTTATTGGCTTACATTCTACGGCGGACACCGAATGGTTCAGTATGGGATTGGCGAAATTCGGCCAAAATTTGCAATACTTGAGGCACATCTTGAAGAGCAGGATAAAGCTTCTATTGAAAGTATTTCATACGTACACATGAAAATTAACAATAATATAGATAATAAAACTATGGTAAGTTGTTTCATTGTACTTCTGCAAAGTACGACAGAATATGGTTCGATATGATGCAAGCTTTTTCAGAAAATGTTGATTTTATTTTAAATTAATAGATGATAGAAACTAAGTCAGTTTTTCTTCGTTTGGGAAGTTTCATTTCAGACTTAGTATACAACTTGAAATGGTTTTGGATTTCTTCAAATAAATGAGAAGTTTTCAAGAACTGGAATTCTTTTTCCAGAGAAAAAATACTGTAATTTAATTGTTCTTTTATCTTTTCGTTGCATTTATATACTACGATATAGTCACTCGAAGAAAAATAATGTTATTCTCATGTAATTACAAGTTACACTAGTTGTTTGAGTTGTAGAAGAAAGTGGAAAAATCAAAACTACAATCTTTTGTATTGATCGACTTTCTCATACGATATTTTATCCGGTTTCGAAAGTGATGATAAGAATGATGAATAACATTCAAAATTTGTCTTTTGACTCAGAATGTACCGAAAATAATGATGGTGGCAACTGCAATATAGTATAGGAAATTGGAGAAAATTTTCTCTCAATATATATTGTTTGTGAAAACTGTGTTTTTACTTTTTCAATATCTCATCTTTCTTTTACTGAACTTATAGTTAAAAATATACCAAGAATTATTGAGAAGGCCATGGAATATTGTTTCAATTATCAGCATATCAAGTAGTGTTACGTATTCAACCTCTTCCTGTCTCCACAACGCCGTACAAATCATCTTTCAACTGTTCTGAGAGACAAAGTCTCGTTGCTGAAAATGGGATTGAGTTCACCATAAATAATTTTTTTTGACTATGAAATGTAATACACAATTCTTTATAGAAGAATAAGGTTTTCAGATCTATCTAAAACAGATGTTCACATCTTCTACTGCCATTTTATTATTAGTATAAGAATCCATTGCGAACATTGAAGAAATAAAAAAAGATTGTCTGCTCTATTCGTAGTTTTTCCTTTTAAAACAAAATATATTGAATAGATATTTAGTTTCGTCTCTATGTTCATTGCTATTCTATTTTATTTAGGAACATTTTAAAGACAAACTGAAGATTTTCATTGGTTCAGAACCAGTCATTTTCGATCCTCCTTTATTAGTTATTGCACCAGCTGAATTCTCGCCGACCCATCCTAAAAACACTAATGGTGTCTTAGAATCTTTACTAAAAAACCCATGTCGAAATCTGTATCATGAAGTCATTACTTTCACACTAAAAGATAATAGCTTTCCGAATTTTATTGAGACTATTGAACAAAGCATCAGAAGTCAAAATGGATGGTGTCATCGAAAACTTAAAGAGAAAGTAAATCAATTTGGAAAACCCAGATACGAGACTACCTATCTATGTATCACAGTCGATCAACTCGAAAATGGTAAGATTATGCATCCATGTATAATGAAAATATGGCCACCTGGCCATTATAGTCCAGTACATAATCATGGTGATGCATATGGAGTTATTCGTGTACTTCATGGAAGACTTCTTCTAAAATTTTATCCAGCTCTTTCAATCAATTTCCGACAAAACCCATCTATTGAGCAATTATTTGAAGAAAATCAAGTTACATGGATGATTCCTAAATTGAATCAAACATATCAAATGCTTAATCCTGACATGTATGGTTCATGTTGTATCACTATTCATTGTTATCAATACGAAACAGACGATCAAATGTATGGTGAACATTTTGATTTCATTACTAATGATGGACATCATATCGACCATCACAACTATACACCGGATAATAATTATCTTGACTTCAAAAGGATGATGATGATGGAGTCAATGCATGGTACTGCTGTGTAACGTGTGCTAGTGTATCAATGTATTTATCAATGTTTATTTCTCCGATTTATTTTTAATATAGATAGTCAAAAAAAGAAAAATGCGTTACATTTATACTTAGTGTATAAGTACAGGATGTAATTAAAGTTTGTATCAAATCTTCGATAATGTTTCTACGACTGTCAAACTTCATGAATACTTGCCCATCCATCTGTCCATCATCTTACTACTGTTCATTTTTCAATAAAATTCTGAGAGAATGTTTCGCGTAAGTTTGAGATAAAAAACAACAAAGTAATTATCATTTGATGTATAGTTACATGTAACAATAAATACTTTCATTACCTAAAATATTTGACATTGTCAACTGTAATTTGATTGTGAGATGATTTCAAAACTGTCTGTATCAATTGAAAAAGGTCCTAATATTCTGATTATTTGCATCTACAGATTTTCAGCTACCATATGACTTATAGGATGATTTATAAAATTTTTGAACATCGTTCTTTTGAGAATTTCCTGACAATTCATGTTTTCTTTATTTTTAATCAGTATAATCTCTTGTTTTGTCTGAAATTGATATAACTTACTGCTTTGCTCAAAGAACCTTGCTTGCTTTGATGTTCTCCCTTGAATCAGGATATCATACCTGTGATTTTGTGGAGCGATTTGCGGCGCATCGAATAGTATATAAGAAATCAAGTTTTATGAAAATTTTCGTCTATATACTTGTTAAAATCCTTGAG